TCAGAAGCTTTTTTTTAAGAGTGCCTTCGTCGTGAGCACACGCTAGAGAGTGTACTCGTACACGATTAACGGAGTGTACTCGTGCGTGCACTCTGAATAGAGTTCACTGAGTACACTGTTGAGTTTGCAGAGTAAAACCTTGCACCGCAGTCTAGACAGCTTACTTTCTTTGGAGGAGAAAATTCTTCTTTTCACGGTTTTTGCGCGTTTCCTGTCTTTGCTGTCAGCCGAAACCCGTCACAGTTTTTCATGGTCATGTCACGTGGATTGTGTGTCGCGCAGGTTCTGGTGCCGGGACTGCGGCGAGGATGCCGCGGAGGACTGCGTGGACTCTGGCCACTCCGTGTGCTCCCTCCGCCAGCATCGCTCTGAACAGGCCGCTCCCAAATTGCAGCGTCTGGACAAGGTGGCGACGTCGGCGCGCGAGGTGGTGAAGGCCCTGCTGGACGCCAAGGGCGTGCTGGAGGCCCAGCTGGAGCAGTGGCGGGGCAGGCTGCGGCACGTCGAGGAGGCCAAGAAGGAGCTGTGGGAGGCGGCCATGGATTGCCGGGACCTGGAGGAGCCTGCACTGGAGGAGGGCCTGGAACAGCTGCTGCAGGACGCCACCACCCTCCTCCAGGCCAAGTGCCAGCTGCAGCTGCAGGTGGACTCGCCCTGCTCCACCTGGAAGGGCCAACTGCAGGTGGCGGCTCCAGGCTCCAGACGCAGTTTGCTTTGCCCACTGATGCTGCAGATGCACCAGGACTGGAACCTCACCAAGGTTCGTTCTGGAACCCTTCCCACAGTTTTAAATGAAGAATTCGGCAGCTAGCTTGGAGTGCCACAAATTTCATATGGGTTGTTTCACATGATAAAAGCACACTAAATGTCTTACGAAGAAATTTTTCATAATTCGAAGGAAATGACGCAAGCATAATACGAACCCACCTTTTAATTTGCAACTTTGGCCTGAAATTTTGCTGGGCGTTTAAAGCTTAAGGGGGCACACCAGTGGAAATCGTCGAATTTTGGCCTTCTTTTTTATTTAATCTTATTTTTCTGCTATCTATCCCGAGTCGAACGCCGCAAACCCCACCCCAAAATTCCAATAACTTTGGCTCGTGCACATTTTTTAAGTTGCTAAAATGGTAATTATTTTTGCAAATTTTAGACCAATTGTAAACGTTTAGGTTTTCCACTTAAAGTTCAATTACAAAACCCTTGAACCAACCAAACGCAGTTGTAAAAAGGAACATTTTGGCGCAAACCTTACTAAAATACGTCAAAAGGCGCATTTATAATCCAAAAAAAACACGTCAAATCGATGTTTCTATTTAAGGGGGCAGTCTCGTCCCTGTACCCTTTTTTAGGGGGGTTTTCCCTCCCTCTTTTGATGACGATGATTTTTAAAATATACCTCTTAGAGACAAACGGTAAAAACCAAATGAAAGAACAGAATTTTTACAACATTTTCAAAAAAAAATATTTTGTTTTGTCTTCAGTTGTAAGGGAGTTATAGGGAATGCAACAAAAGCCGACAAAACATACAAAATTTCACTGCGCGACAATTTTCTCCGGAAGTTCTTAACTTTTTGGCAATCGGTTTGCGGCATCTTGAAGATAAAAAAATTCTCTTTACTTTAACCTCCGATCGTCCATGTAGCCCAAGGAAAACCTAAATTAAAACCGTTCCTAAGTTTGTATAGGTTTTTGGTTACGTTTTAGTAAGTGTAATCCTTGGGCTATATGGACGATTGTAGGTTAAAGTAAAGAGGATTTTTTCATCTTCAAGATGCCGCAAACCGATTGCCAAAAAGTTAAGAACTTCCGGAGAAAAATGTCGCGCAGTGAAATTTTGTATGTTTTGTCGGCTTTTGTTGCATTCCCTACAACTCCCTTACAACTAAAGACAAAACAAAATATTTTTTTTGAAAATGTTGTAAAAATTCCGTTCTTTCATTTGGTTTTTACCGTTTGTCTCTAAGAGGTATATTTAAAAAATCATCGTCATCAAAAGAGGGGGGGAAAACCCCCCTAAAAAAGGGTACAGGGACGAGACTGCCCCCTTAAAGGGCTTTTACTCAAAACACCTTTTTTGTAACTTTGTGCCACTCTCACGGGCGCAAAAATTGAGATAATTTAATGCGGTTTGCGGCAAAATGTTCGTTAAATTTGCGTCTATGGTCTGAACCTCGGAAATGCCCATCCCATACATAGAACGTGAGCAGCAGCCATGAAAGCGCGAAAAAATTGGTTAAAAAATTTGTTTCTAATTTTGCCTTTTGAAAAAACAAATTCAAAATCATTCTTTTAGCATGCCCGTGGTTTAGACCCTAGCCACATGTGTCCTGGTGAGAAATTTTCAAATCCCGTGCTCGAGGCTCAATCCAGAGAGGTGGAATCGTGGCAGGAGTGAAGCAAGGTCGTATAAAAATGAAGTGTAAGGTAAAAAATCAATTGTGGGTCACAAATCAATTGTGGGTCATTTTTTTCGACGGGTCACCGCAGACCCGACGGAGATTGAATCGATTTGAATTTCGCGGTAGACCTTCCTCCAACCTTTCTTTGTCTTCCCAAATAGCGTGTATGTCCGAGCGACTACTGTAACGGCTCCTATCAGGCTTCAAAGGAAGGCCCTTCAAAATGTCGTGAAAATGGCGCCCATCCAACGAGGCGAAAAATGGTATGTTTTTCAAATTGCCACCGTGAAGCTATTACGAGATGAAACGGGACGCCCTTGCTGATTTAGGTTCATAATAGGTCAGGGAACACAAATTTACCATAGTACAGCCGAAATCATTCGATGCCATGGTGCGCGGGTGATGGCAAAGTAGCGTTCGCTACTATGTCAGACCCATTATTTTAAACGAATTTTCCGGTAGTTTTTCTGCTATTTTTTTGTTTTCTGCGCTTCTGAATGACTGATGTATCCCAGTAAATTCCATTTTTCTGCTCTGTCACATTTAGTATTACGATACGAAGGTTATGTTAAGCTACAGCCCCGAATGACAACGCTAGCTCTTACTTTCAGTCTGCCATCAGGCTTTTTTGTTGGGGAGGGGGGGGGGCATTGCGGGGCTTACATAGCTCCCGGAAGGGGACCGCTCTCCAACTGCGGGCTAGGCACCCGAGGCCAGTCCGGCCCTGTTATAAGGAGTCAAGTCAATCCCTACAGACTATATATTCTGACTGAAATAGATAATAAACTGTAGCAATACCTCATGATTACAGGGTGTGGTGTTGGATTGTCTACCACACCGGCGGCCCTACAATATGCACTTTAAAAGTTTCGTCTCTAATCCAGGACGTTTAACTCACATCTGTCTCACAGTGAAATTAGCCTGTTTATGTATTTTTCCTTTTTGAGTGAAAAACGTGTCTGTTTGGTTTAATGAGAACCAGGGACCTTTAATTAATGAAAATAAGAAAATATCTTGCAAAAGTGGTCAATTTACAAGCAAAAAGACGAAATGACCCACTGTTAAAAAAATTCTGAAAATTCAGACCAATTTTGTTAGACTTAGCGGTCTGAATCTGTAAACCAGACTTAATTCTGAAAAATCAGAGTTTTTGTCTTAGTTCTTAAACGCTTTGTCTGAAAGCTTGGTTCAGACTCGAAGTGTCTTAATATTTGTTCTCATTCTCAAAATTCATACAAACCGGCGTCAGACTTCTCAGACCTCAAGAGTCTGAATTTCGAATTCAGACTACTTTCTGAAATATGTTTTAACATAAGGGAAAATTGGACAACTTTTCTTCAACCTAACATTGGGTTAACTCACAATCAGTCTTACATTCAATTTAATCCGACTCAGTTTCGGGGACTTCGGACAAAACGAAAGCATTTTTCTCTCCGCTAGGTGGCGCCAGTGTCGGTAAAGAGCCTGCTGTTGTTAAAAACTTTTTTTTCTGTTAAATTTTAAATATTTGAAACCCGAAATGGGTATCACTCTATTGGCTATGACGAAACACACGCTCCCATACCAAATTTATATTTGTAGCAAACGCGCGAGTTTAACAATTGACTTTTGAAGTTACCTCTCGCGGGTGGCTCCGTGCCGTCGTTTCCTTGGGTGCGTCAGGCCAGCTCCAGATGAGTGCAGGGAAGAGTCCAGCTTCGAGGACACTTCCCTACACTAAGTTTTTTACCTAGACGGTCCCTTGGAGTACGTCTCTCCTTTGAGGTTCGGATGCAAACATTATCATTTCACCGCGTTACGGGAAAATTTCCTGCTGCCACTTTCAGACAAAAAAATATAATAATTAAGACAATTTTGTCTGAATTTTTCAGACTACGACCTGCCTGAAAGGTTAAGACTTGTTTAAGTCTGAAAATTTCAGACCAGGATTTAGTCTGAATTTTCAGTAGGATGTTCTGCATATTTACTTCAGTCAAAAAAGTCTGAATTTTCAGCAAAATTTTTTAACAGTGCCCACAATTGATGTGACCCACAATTGATTCATTGTGCTACAGATCCTGCAGTTTTCACGATTCCGAAAAATAAATTCAGAAGTGAATTTCTCTCGTATTTAAGCAAATCATATCCAAATTTGAGCTTCCTACAATGCTGACCCACAACTGATTCCAAAAATCAATTGTGGGCCAAAACAGACTATTTTTAAAACAGCCACAGCTTAGTAAATAAGGATTACAGACAGGGCTGCTATGCTGCAAAACTCAGTCCAAGGACCATAGTTAAAGGCCGCACATGCACTTTTGTCACCAGGCCAGAATTAAAGGCCTTAATTAGGAATTTTAAAAAATGTGACCCACAATTGATTTTTTACCTTACTGGCGCTCCGTCTTGCCATCGCCACCCTGCCCTCCCATACTGATTTTTCTTTTCTTTGATATAATTTTGAGCCAAGAATTAAATATCAATCGAATACAAAGGTTACTTTTCTCAGAATGATCGTTTTTCGAAACCTCTGCATTTTCACTGGTGTGCCCCCTTAAGGATACTATAAACTGAAACTAGCGAGGCCTCGAAATTTTTGCCACAGGAAGATTATCTTGTGGTCAAAACTCAACCACTATTATATGAATATTTTCCCAAGGTTGGGCGCCCCAACTCCTATTAAATTCTGAGTTATGGAGGTATGTAAACTTTTAGCTTCTCCCAAATTCTTCTGACAACAAAGGATAAGCTACCCAGTCTTTAGATTTTTGCAATTTTATCTTTTTTTGCATAGGAAAAAGGTAGCGTTGGCAGATTTAAAGACATTTGTCGAGAGGCTGTAAAAGCTATTTTATCAGGCCTATTTTTATTTAAAATTGTGAGATTTCGACCAGTTGGTCTTGTTTTTGGTTTCTCACGAGAACTAAGGCAGATATTAGAAAAAGGGCAACGCTTTCTTTTTCCAATTATAAATAGACAAAATTGCCAGAATCTGAAGACTGGGTAGCTAATCCTTTGTCGTGAGGAGAATTGAAGGGAAATGACTATAAGTTTACGTAAAGCTCCATAACTCAGAAACTAATAGGAGTTGGGGCCCTAGTCTTAGGGTATGAGTTTATTTAATAGAACGGAACTTTTAGCCCTAAATTGAGACATCTGACACAAGTATTTACAAAATGTCAAATAGCCACTTTTTTCACTTTACAATAACCTTAAAAATACTATTGCGAAGTTAGATGCATGACTTTGTTAATTTTTATAAATACTTGAAATAGAAATCTCAAGATATGATTTCATTGTCTTGCCCTCAAAATGTGTCCGCACTGCTTCCAGATCTTCCGTCCCGAAGAGTGTATGCATGTGTTGAAACTCAGCCAGCAAACGGAGCACACCCAAGAGCTGGACGAAGCCCTGCAGAACCCAGGCCTGGACAAGGTGAGGATGTTTTTGTTTATTGTGGCAAGGTTTATCCCCGCAGCTCAGCTATGCACGGCTTACCTAAGTCTTCTCAAACATCGGAAGCCCTGCACTCTCATCACGTTTCTGACTTTTTTCTCATTAATTATGTAATCGTGTAAGCAACAACAATACTTAGTATTTTCTAAGTAAGTATGACCATGACCAATTTCCTTTGTAAAATTATGTACAAAACTAAATTGTCAGTCCATTAATTAATATTTCCTAAGTAGTTATTTCAAAAAGGAAAAGAACGTATTATGGTTGCACCAATTACTTGCATAAGTACTGACAATATGAGCAAAAAGTCAGTAACGTGCTAGAGTGTGCGCTATACGCAACGTACAATTTCGTGCGAGATGGATTATTTTATTTTGCGAACTTTTCGTGCGATATTTGTTTGGAAATCTGCGCTTTCTTGTAGGGTCGTGGAAAACCATGTACAGTCTTGTACTCAAAGTTCATCTGCCTAAAAAAAATGTAACGTCTTGTACTGAATTTGGGTGTGTTTCAGGTGAGGAAGCTGAGAGGACTGTACTGCAGGGAGCAGCCGAACTGGAGTGTAGTGCTGCTGAAGCGCGTTGCCTCGCGCGTCGAGTGGCTGTCCCTTTGGAGCGCCGTTCGGGAACACCTCGATGTGATACGGGACATGCCAGCGCTGCGCTGCTTGCACGTCCACTTGAGGCAAGTCCAGAACGCCCCAGACTTGCCGCTTCAACTGCAGGAATTGCAGGTGGTGAACATCACAGAGGAACATCTCCAGTCGGTGCAGCGGATGCCCAGGCTGCGTAAACTCGTCTTGAACTGGTACAGACACGGTGCTCTCGACGTGGCGTTCCCCCCTCTGCCCATGGATCACTGCGGCCTGCGATGGCTCAGTGTGTACCTCCAGCCGGCCTCCACCGTGCTGTCCCTGGCCAAGGCCCACGCCGCCACACTGCAGGAGCTGCGGATCCTGTGCGCGTCCGAGGGAGACGATCCGTGGCATTTCAAGGACCTGGCCGAGGGGCTGCGCCAGTGCGGGCTGGTGGCGCTGCGGCGCGTTGTGCTGATTCGGGGACCCGCTCCAGGCTACCCTGACAGGAAGCTTCCCCACAAGACACAGTCGTGCAAACGGCAGAAGAAGTCCATCTGGGACAAACTGTTAGTGACGGACTCGGAGAAGCCAGTCAGGGTAGTGAAGGTCATGTGCGAGGAGTGTGACAAGTGCCCCGCATTTCCGCCTCTGGGAGACTTCACCTGGAAAGACGATTAATCCAGTGCTTCGTCTCAATTGAGAGTCTTTCTCTTCTGTATTTTACTTTGAATTCTGGCATTCCGATCCCTTTATTAAACCCCAGAGCTAATTGTTTCGTGTTTGGCACGAGTTTTTAATTTACTACCGCCTGACGTCCTGGTGCCATGGCTGTAATGCTGATTTGTCCTCGATCCGATCGTGCGCATCGATGTTTCTATGGCACACTTTGGTTTCAGAAACGTTACATCACGTTCAAACGAATGTGACAAAGTGGCACGTTCTTTTGAGCATCGTGTCACATTCGTTTGAATGCGAATGAGCTAATTGATGCCTGATTCACATCCAAACGAATGGGACGCAACGCTCAAAAGGACGTGCCACTTCGTCACATTCGTCTAAGCGTGATGTCTTGTTTCTAGAACGAGAGCGTATGGAACGATTATCTCGAATGTAAAACTAAACCCCCAAGAAGGAATTTTTTATATTTTCTAAGCTTCATATTATTTTACGTGATTTTATGTCGTTCTGTACAGATGGCGTTGTTTCGGACGTAATTACACTTACTTGTTGATTTGGTGAGACGGAGAGCCAGACTGCTGTGACTTATTTTTGTTTGATTCGTAGCATTGTTCTGCTAAAGCACTTCCTTGTTTGTCATGATTGGTTAACTTTTTAATACCCACAGCCTGACGTTAAGTTTACGTGGCGTTGGTGTTGAAGTGATATTTCTTCGATGTCGATTGTGAACACAAATCTTTGATTCCATATGCACGATGTTGCTCTCGTTTGTTGTCTTACGAAACATTAAAACCTTTTGAAACTACTGCACGGTGCGATTTTTTTGAGCTTCCCTCAAAGATGACCCAGTTGTCGTCCTTTGCAGATCTGACTATGGTGCGGGTCCTTGCTATTTCAAATGCTCTACGAGGTTCAATGAGAGGGGGCAAAAACTCGGGATTTTCGTGTACACATGATTCGGAAAACGCAATGATTACGCATGGTTTTAATTGATTTCATGGCTGATTCTGCCGTCTTTCGCGACGCAGCAGGGTGATGTCGAGCGTGATTGTGTGTGACAGTGTTCGGAAAGACATGATTTCGGACTGATTTTGCCCGGTTTCGTGAGATTCTGCCTGATTTCGGTCGATTTTAGTGATTTTGGTTGATTTCGGATTGCTTGATTTCGCGTGATTCTCAATGATTCGCGTGTGATTTCGGGGGCCGTGTACACATGATTGCGCGAGTTTTTGCCTCGGTTCAATGTGTGCTAAGAACACAGCTGTGGGAGTGTTCTTTGAAGCACGCATCTACAGGAGTGCTTGACTAGCAAACATTTGTAGACGTATCCTAGGACAAGCTCACATCTATAGGCGTGTGCTTTCAATATTGGGTAAGATGAAAATGCTCTACGAGGCGAGGGGTGATTCACTCAGCGTTCTGGTGTACACATGAGTACATGAGTACGAGTGAGTTGCTTAACTCATAAATTTCACAATTTTAGACGTTTTAAGGCTTTATGTAGCGTTTTTAACGGCACTCGACGTTAAATCGGTAAAAAACTAGAGAATTTCGCCCTTTTTGAACTTGTGAGTAAACTGAGTACGGGCAAATTTGTACACATGAGTACTTACACTAGTGATTCACCCCTCGCTACGAGGTTCAATGTGTGCTTAGAACACATCTGTGGGAGTGTACTTTGAAGCTCGCATCTACAGGAGTGTGCTTGACTAGCAAACCTTTGTAGCACAGGCGTGTGCTTTCAATATTGGGTGAGATGAATGCGTACCTCTCCAAGTACACGCATACACCTGTGCTCGAAGGACACATTTGGTTTTTTAAATTGTGGGCCGGAAGACCAGTGGAGGTATCCAAAATGCTCGACGCATTGAGGGCTCCACAGTCGCTAACCATATTGGAACCGAACACCGAACGTGTGACCCCACCAATGAATTGCTCTCCGAACGAGGAATCCACACGTTTGATTAGAATCCTGTTGGGCGATTCTGGTGCTCAAAACGCGTCGAGAGTTTCAGCCGCCTCCACTAGTCTTCTGGCCCGCTGTGGGTCGGCCGGTGCAGGGGAGCCTTGCAGTGCCCGTCTCGCTCGGGGCAAAAATTCAGCAGTCGAGAGTGCGCACTCACATGGAGGGTCTCAAAGATCGCCACCGTTGTCGCCAATCGCTACTCGAAAACTTTTCGTCGCCTCTTTCGTCCGAAAAACGGCCACGTCTGGCAACACTGCTTGCGCCCTGCGCGATGCCGCCGTGAGCCGATCGTGGGCTTCGGTGCTCGCTGGGAGCCTTCGGGCGCAACGGCTTGGAACCGGGCGCATTCGGCTGGCCGGCGTGCAAACCGCCTTCCTGGGCAGGCTTTCCCGGAAGAGGGGTCCCTTGCCGGCCAGATTCAGGCAAAGGAGCGTGCCAAGGCGCTCCCCTGCGGGGAATCCCCCTGGGCGCGTTCGGGCGCCTCGGGGTGTCGCCGGGCGCTGCCGGCTTCGGCGCGCTCGGACCCGAAGGCGCGCGACTCGGGCGCTCTCTACTCGGCGGAGTCCGGCAAGCCTGCGTCACGCGTCGCATGCCGCTGCTGTGCTGCTGCTGTGGGCCGCTCCATAGTCAGAGCAGTTCCTTCGCGAAGTCAACAGGTCTTCAGTGTGCTTTACGTAGCGTCTGCAACAGTGTACGTCCGTTTAACTCTTTGATTTAGCAACGTTGCTGCTAACACAACCATCCCCAGAGGTACCGTGAAACGAGGTAACTTCGGACACTTTTGAGAGGTTTTTTTGAAATTGTGAAAGTTGTGGTGCTGTCATGGACTTGAGGGTTAAAATTTATCATCTACGCACCTTTAGCTTCGATTTGGCGCTTATTTCAAATATTTGCACCTCACCTTTTTTACAGTGGAGGGTCCGAAGCAGTGTCCGAAATTACCCCGTGTTTTGGGGTAATTTCGGACACCCTTGGAAAAAACGACTTTTCGTTCTGATTTCGGTCCCAAAATCGATCACTGTCTCTTTCTAAAGTGCTAATATGATTATGTGAGAAATTCGTAAGGGTTTAGATGTAAAAGTAAGGTAGGGGTGGTCATTCATACATTATTTTAAGTCATGTATTCCACTCATATGTAGTCCAATTTCAGAAATAGTGGGTGGGACTAGTAGAGCCATTTAGAACGCTTCTATTTGTTAGTATTTGATCGATTAGCTTTCACAAGCAACTCGGGCCATACTTTATTACGCGAAAAAGGATCTTAAATCTGCCTCTACAAGATTACATACGATCACATACATGCATGCAAGTAGTCGTGTCGGATGTACGGTTAGGAAGATACAGGGGCTCAGTGGAAAGCGTTGCATAGTAAACCGGCGAGCTATGCAGCCATTCGCGAAGTCCAACTCTCATATCACATGAAAGAAAATTAATCACAAAACAGTCGTTGACACTAAGGTAGAACACGCATATAAATAAAAACTAAGTATTAAGGGGGGACCCTGGTGAAACTTTCAAGTAGGCTTCAAAATAAACCCAGAAAGTTAAAACTTTGCTTAATTATTAGGTTCATTATGGTGAGTTCCCAAAACAAAATTCAATCAAAAATTATGAACGGTCTCTGAGAAAAGTGGCTTTTTAGTGTTTTTTAGAGCGTTGGGGAAAAATCTTCCTGCGTCTTTCATTGGGACGGAAAGTCTTGAAATTTTTTTTTGGGTTATCCTAAAGATGTATTGAAGAGATTTTAGTGACGGAATTTTCAAATTCAAATTTTGTCCTGAGATATGAGTTTTCAAATTTTAACATTGAAAAAAAGTAACTTTTTGGCCCGCCCTTCTATTCAAAAAATAGGGGGAGGGCCTATGCATTTGCCTTTGTGTCTGTGTGTTGTTGTTGTTGTTGTTGTTGTTGTTGTTGTTGGCGTCTGTGTACAAGGAAGGAGTTGAGCTAGAGTAACCAGATTTGGAGGGTACTTCAGGAGTACCGTCCAAACAAATAATCCGGTGGTGCAAATCCCGTCCGGGTCGCACAAGGGCTGCTGCAGGTGCATCATGGTTTACATGACCGGGAGGGGGATTTCCGCCATTATTAGTGCTAGCAGGGCACATAGGGGTATTTTTGGAATCGGGGCGACGAGACAAGATGAATGGACCTGGTCCCGACCCCATCGGCCGCTTTTACAAGTTGGCCAGATCAGGATCTTCATAAAAGGGGGTCGACCGACTAAAAAAATTTATTGCAGATTTCGATTGGTCTCAGCAAAACCTTTTCAACGAGGGGTCAGAAAGGGGGTCCAGGAGCCCGACTTCGTCTATTAGTCACATCAGGATCTTCAAAAAAGGGGGTCGACCGACTAAAAAAAATTATTGCAGATTTCGATTGGTCTCAGCAAGACCTTTTCAACGAGGGGTCGGAAAGGGGGTCCAGGAGCCCGACTTCGTCTATTAGTCACATCAGGATCTTCAAAAAAGGGGGTCGACCGACTGAAAATTTTTACTTAAGTTTTCGATAGGTCTTGGCAAGACCTCTTCAACGAGGGGTCGGAAGGGGGGTCCAGGAGCCCGCCTTCATGAGTTATGGGAAAAAGTGCGACGGACTCGTTTTGCGCTCCTGCTGTGCCTCTATTGCAAGGAGTTGCAGTAGCATGGCAAATATGGGTATTTTCGGAATGAGGGCGAAGAGACAAATGAAATGGGCATATTCTAAGGACAGTTGGAGTAAAAAGTGTAAGGACTATTGCATATTGTGAATAGAAGCGCGGGCCTAAGTCACGATGGTACATCGATAACTTTGCTTTACCCGCTCACGGTGTGTGTGATGCGAGCGGGCCGAAGGCCCGGGCCTTCGACTGGCCAAGTTGGGTCTGATGCGAGGGCCGAAGGCCCGAGAAAAGGCCGCCGGCGGGCCAAGCTGGGCCGGCCCCCTGTCGAACCGAGTTGCCGGCGCAGCGAAGCGGAGCTGGCAACTCGGTTCGACGGAAGGGCGGGCCCTAGCTTGTTTTCCCTTTTTTCAAACTTTTAGGTGTTTGTAAAAAAAAGTAGGGCTGATATCAAGATTCCGTCACTAAAATTTGTCGACAAGTAATCAATGAATAGAGTCCATGCAAGACGACTCATGTAGGTGTCAACCAGGAACGCAGAAAGTCTTTCTACGACAAAATTTTTTGTCGACTGAGCAAAGCTGTGAAGTTGAGCGTAGAAGCCAACAACAACTGATTTCAATGTTATTTCCTGCCAAATGATAAAGAAACTACCCACTTAGCTTAAAGGTGTTCAACCTGTTAAATCTGAAACCTTCTATGCACATTTTTATCTATGAACTTTAAAAATACTATTTTTGGCAATTTTGGCGATTTTTTCACCAGGGTCCCCCCTTAAAGATGAAGCTTTGCCCCATTTTCATGAAATTCGAAGTTTACAAAGAAACCGCTGTAACAATTGAGGATTATCGTTGTTATTGGATTATCTTCAACTTTCAGAAGAGCTCTTCAGCTTCCACCACTCAAACCTTGCGAAATTGGAAGTGTTCAGGACATACCCACTCTCCCTGGTGTGACGTTTGTATGTCCGAAATTGCCCCATAAAGTAGCATTTTTTTAGTTTTGAGCCCATATAAACCATACTATTCGACCCAGGTGATTGAAAATTTGACACAGTATGCTCTTAACATGATTGAATCGACAAACAATCCCCTCATGAACCGGCCATGAACAGTTTCGGCTTGCCAGTTAAAGTTTTTACGCATAAAGCTAATTTAGGTAAAAACGGTTTAATACAAAAACCACTATTTCTACTGGAGTTTGCCCCTGATTTGGCCTCCGGGTGATTGATCAGATGGTTTTAAGTGTGGCCGATGCGATGCGCGCAACGGGACAAGCCTCCAAGTTGGCCGTTAGATGGGAGCATCATCGCAATGCTCCCGGGCAGAGTTGTCCGAAATTACACCGAGTGTCCGAAATTACCCCGTTTCACGGTACAGTAGGTCGTTTCCGTGGAATGAAAAAGCTTGACACCGCCGAACAAGCGCAGGAATCGAACTGTTCTTAAAAGCAAGTTCGTGAGTATGCAAGAGGGGCAGGTATGGGCCATCGTAACTGCCTATATACTGTAAATGTCTTGCAATGACACTTGAACTAGTTAAAATGAATTTGACGGATGCGTAGTTCAGAACACCTTCGTATCACGAAAGAATATAAGCGTTCGCAATCACGTTCGCAGCCAACGAAGCATTTCCTACGAAGAAAGTGACAGCGTTGTCAGAATGCATAGTGTTACGACGGATTTTACTTCATTATACGAAGCATTTCTTCGTAGCTTTTACAATGCCTTCATTTTCTTCGTGTTACGAGGCGGTTCTTCGTATGGTTTTCACTGTGATATGTTAACACGATTTGGCTCGTACTCGTGGAACTTACTTCGGAAGATATGTTGAATGCAACGCTGCGTAAAACTCTTTCGTGTGGAAGCGTGTTGGGGCGGTCTCGCGTAGCCGCTGCGGCACAACGAGGCGTCACTAACATTCGGATAACGTGATTCACGAGCGTGGAGACCATACAGCACAGGGCTCCGCTCACTCCGTCGCCTGCACCCCGCACTTCCGGTGGAGGAGTCCGGAAACGACATTGGGGGTGGAGGATGCGGCGACGGTATCCCGTTCGGGGCACAAAACCTTAGGCCATTCATATCGGCATTAAGTTTTAATGCTCCTCGGTTAGACAGCAATTTTACGCCCATAATCCATGCTGCTCTGACGCCTTTGTGAGCACACTGAATTTTCATGTTAAATTTTGTACGTACACAGTAAAAACTCTACGAAGAAATGCTTCGTATTACGAAGGTATTACGAAGTAAGAGTGTAGTGCTGTAAAAAATCTAACCTTTGAAATGTTTTACATTTTGTTTTACATTTCTCCACAAGTTAATGCAAATTCCGCGTGTGCAGTGTGCTAGTCGTGCAAATTACACGTACAAAATTCTACACTGAGAATGAAAGAGTCACCACCATCGCCCTTTTATTGGGTAACGCACGCATCGTCGCCCAAATTTGGGTGACGAGCCAGCGGTGACCAAATTTTGGGCAGTCATAAAATCGTCGCCCAAATTTGGGTAACGCCGTCGACGACGCCGTGAGGTCCCCGATGACGTTCTTCCGGGGCCACCACGATGACCCAATGTGGCGTTTAGGCTTCCGGTCATCGTGGTGGCCCCGGAAGGACGTCATCGGGGACCTTACGACGTCGTCGACGGCGTTACCCAAATTTGGGCGACCAAACGCCTGTTACCCAATTTTGGGTGATGAATTTTTCGTCACCCAAGCTTGGGCAACGAAGTTGCATCGCTCATTTAAAGGGTGATGGTGGTGACCCATTCATTCTCAGTGTACATCAAAATTTAGTGTCCAGGAAGGGCGTACTTGATCTATGCCCTTTCCATGGGCGTTACTAGACTCTTTCAGTCCGTACTGAATTCGTCCGCTAGTCCAAAAAAAGGATCAAAAGAACAAAAGTTCAGTAGTTGGACTTATGGCTAACTGTGCGTGGAAGTGCCATAGTGCCCGTAGAACCCTATTTAATACGTTGCCTCTTGCAGCAGAATGCCCCCCAAGAAGAGAGCGCAGACGAGCCCTGCCGGAGACGCCAGCAAGAGGTCTAAGCAGGGAAGCAGTCCGTCTCAGCGGCAAGAAGGATCCTCATTGGACAGGTATGTATGGTTGCAAACGCTTTGGTACCTTATGTGTGCTCCTTACCTTCGCTAGTTTTCTCTTCTTGTCCTGTGGAGGTATTTCGAAGTTTTTTTTTGGACCGGAAGTAAGAAAAACTGCAGCGCTGTTTGTTACACTTTGCAGCCTGACGATGGAGTCTGAAGTGGTGACGGTCAAGGAGGAGCTCTCGGGTCCCGAAACCAACAACCTGAGTAGCAGCACTTCAAATCCCAAGTGAGTACCATGAGTGCACTCCAAATCGAAAGGCGGTAATATTTCCACCCTTTACTGGCGGTAATTGGCTATTGGCGGGCTCCAGGTTTTACCGCCAATGCGAAGGCGGTACAGAAATTACCGCCCTTACAGCACCGTTTGTACCGCCTTTGGAGAGCTTTACCGCCGATTTAGTGGCGCACTGAGAGAACGTAAAAGGCGGTAATATTTTGTACCTCCTTTTTCGCACCATCTAAATGGCATGCAATTGGCGGTAATACTTTGTACCGCCTTTTTCGTTCAGTTTGTAGGGTGCGTAATTGGCGGGCTCCAGATTTTACCGCCAATAGAAAGGCGGTACAGGTTTTACCGCCTTTTCCACACCATGTGTACCGCCAATAGATTTGTAGTGTGCCGTTGTGAAAATGCCGTAAACTTCGAAGAAGCTTCAGAACAATGACGTTGCAATTCACAGAGATTTCTTCGCTCACTACAAATAGCAGAGTCATTGCCTTTCAAACCGATCACTGCGGGTTTTCAAGGGGGGACTCTGGTGGGAATATGGCCATAATTGCCCAAAACAGTATTTTTAAAGTTCATTGATGAAAAATGTGCATAGAAGGTATCAGATCCAACAGGTTGAACACCTTTAAGCTAAGTGGGTAGTTTCTGTATCATTTGGAAAGAAATGTCATTAAGATCAGTTGCCGTTGCCTTATACGCTCAACTTTACAGCTTTGCTCAGTCGACAAAATATTTTGTCGTAGAGAGACTTCCTGCGTTCCTCCTGGTTGACACATACATGAGTCGTCTTGCATGGACTCTATTCTTTGATGACTTGCCGACAAATCTTGATATCAGCCCTGCATTATTTTTCAAGTACAAAAATGTTTGAAAAATAGGCAAAAAAAACTCACTGTTTTGAAATGTTAATATTTGAAAATTTGTAAGTTTGTAAGTAACGGAAGTTGAATTTGAAAATTCTGTCACGAAAATCTCTTCCATACATCTTTAGGATAACCCAAAAACATTTTCAAGACTCTCGGTCCCAATGAAAGACGCAGGAAGATTTTTCCCCAACGCCCTTAAAAACACAAAAGTGGCACTTCTCTTAGAGGCTGTTCAACATTTTGGATTAAATTTTGTATTGGGAACTCATCATTATGGTCCTTACAACCAAGCAAAGTTTCAACTCACTGGGAATATTTTGTAACCTACTTGAAAGTTCCACCACAGTCCCCCCCTTAAAGGATAGAGTGAAGTCGTCGTCGACTCAAAAACCAGAAGCATCACAAAATCGAATCTACAGAAGGTGGTGATTCTGATTTCAGGGATGAAATGCTCTGGATTTGTATCTTTTTGTAGTCATAGGGTATTAAGCACTTGCTAAATTTATTTTGAAAAAGTGCCGCTTCGAAAAACTCTTAAATTAAGGCACTCGAATGGGTGAGTGAAGTGAAGATACCCTTTCACTGACTTCCAAACAAGTTACATTTCATGTGAAAATCCTGTTAAGCAAGAGCAAGTGGGAAGCGTTGAAATTTTTTTGCCATAGAGATGAATTTAGATGTGTCATTGCAACATTTTCGTCTTCATTGACATGTGTACTTACACTAATAAAAATAGAAAGGTCAGACTTTTGACCCCTTAAACGGTCTTACTGAAATGTACGATGGAAAAAGGGTCATACTGCAATTTAAGACCGAAAAAAGGTCATACTTCGATGTATGACCGAAAAACGGTCATGGGTAAAGACTGGTATATCCCCAGTCTAAACAATAGCCAGTCTCGCTGATGTCTGACCTTTTTGTGGTCATACATTTAAGTATGACCGTTTTTCGGTCATACTTTTTGTACCACCGAAAATTGGTCAGATGCATCACCCTCCGAGTTTCAGTGAACCGTTAACCGGGGCTTCTAAGTCCACGGGGGTCTTTGGCCAGCGAGTTGCTAAAAATGATACCGATGGAGTAAGAACCACTATAAACGAATTTCTAGCCCATGGGCCAAAGTTACCCCAGGGGGTCAAAATAGCCCCGGTTTACGGTAGACCTTTTGCCCCATCAAATTTTGGCATTAAATCAGTATTTTTGGTGCTCCCGCCTCCAATTTCTAAATGCCGTTTGCGCAGAAGCTGTTCACGAATTAATGCATGTGTTTTAAAATGCACGGTTTTGTGCTCTAATAAGCTTGAAAGTGCACGTAGTGATTTGATGTGTTCGCAAGCTCTGTTCGCAGTGAGTAAAGTTTTAGGTCAGCCAGTAACCCGTCAGAGTTTTTGATGGTCATGTCATGTGGATTGTATGTCGCGCAGGTTCTGGTGCCGGGACTGCAGCGAGGATGCCGGGGAGGACTGCGTGGACTCGGGCCACTCCGTGTGCTCCCTCCGTCAACTGCGTTTGGGCCAAGCGGCCCCGAAGGTGCAGCGGCTGCAGAAAGCAGCGAAGTCGGCGCGCGAGGTGGTGAAGGCCCTGCTGGACGCCAAGGGCGTGCTGGAGGCCCAGCTGGAGCAGTGGCGCGGCAGGCTGCGGCTTTTCGAGGAGGCTGAGAGGGAGCTGTGGGCGGCGGCGGACGAGGGCCGGGACCTGGAGGAGCCTACACTGGAGGAGGGCCTGGAACAGCTGCTGCAAGACGCCACCACCCTCCTCCAGGCCAAGTGCCAGCTGCAGGTGCAGGTGGACTCGCCCTGCTCCACCTGGAAGGGCCAACTGCAGGTGGCGGCTCCAGGCTCCAGAGGCAGTTTGCTTTGCCCACTGATGCTGCAGATGCACCACGACTGGAACCTTATCAAGGTAGGTTCGCGCTTCTAGAACCTTTCTCACAGTTTCAAGTGAAGCATTCGGCAGCTTCGAGTGCCACAAATTTTTTATGGGCGTTTCACATGATAGAAGGCAACTTTTTAAATTGCAACTTTATTTGGCCTGAAATTTTGTTTGTCGAGTGCAGCTTGAAATGTTGGGAAGTTAGAAGAATGACTTTGTAACTTTTTATCAGTACTTGAGTCAGAAATCTTAAGATATGATTTCATTGTCTTGCCCTCAAAATGTATTTGCACTTCTTCCAGGTCTTCCGTGCCGTGGAGTGTATGCATGTGGGGAAGCTCAGCAAGCAAAAGGAGCACACCCAAGGGCTGGACGAAGCCCTGCAGAACCCAGGCCTAGACAAGGTGAGAGTGTTTCCGTTTCTTGTGGCCAGGATTATCCTTGCAGCTATGCACGGCTACCCTAAGTCTTCTCAAACAACTGAAGCCCTGCACTCACAGCACGCTTCTGACTTTTTTCATTAATTACGTAATCGTGTAAGCAACAAAAATAATAAGTATTTTCTAAGTAAATATGACCGTGACCAATTTCCTTTGTAAAATTATGTACAAAACTAAATTGTCAGTCCATTAATTAATATTTCCTAAGTAGTTATTTAAAAAAGGAGAAGACCTTATTATGGTTGCACAAATTACTTGCATAAGTACTGACAATATGAGCAAAAGGTCAGTAACGTGATGAGAGTGTGCGCGAGGGGGTAAACACTCCGGTGAACCTTGTACAGACTACTCCCTATTACGGGGTATTACACCTGTATTACGCATGTATTACGCCTCAATTTCATTGAAAATTGACATTTTTTGATACTTTTGGTCCCAAAATGTATTACTATTACGCGTATTACGGCGTAATACCCGACTTTTATGTACAGGGTATTACGCGAGTGTTTACCCCCTCGAGTGTGCGCTATACGCAACGTACAATTTCGTGCGAGATGGATTATTTTAATTTGCGAATTTTTCGTGCGATATTTGTTTGGAAATCTGCGCTTGCTTTTAGCGTCGTGGCAAACCATGTTCAGTTTTGTACCAAAAGTTCATCTGCCCTAAAAAATGTAACGTCTCGTACCACAGTTGGACAGAAGCATTTAGCTTTTCAACAGGGTGTGGCAGGCGGTGACGCGTTGTGCGCTTGCGTGTTTCAGGTTAGGAAGCTGAACGGACTAGACTGCGAGGAGCAGCCCAACTGGAGTATAGTGCTGCTGCAGCGTGTTGCCCCGCACGTCGAGTGGCTCTTCCTTGAGCACGCCGTCCGGGAACACCTTGATGTGATCAGGGACATGCCAGCGCTGCGCTGCTTACACGTGCATCTGACGAAGTCTGTCGAGAATGCTCCAGAGCTACCGCTTAGACTGCAGGAACTGAAGGTGGTGAACGTTTCAGCGGAACACCTCCAGTCGGTGCAGCGGATGCCCAGGCTGCGGAAACTCGTCTTGGACTGGTACACCTACGGTCCGCTCGACGTGGCGTTCCCCCCTCTGCCCGCGGGTCACTGCGGCCTGCAGTGGCTCCAAATCTGCCTCCGTCCGGCCTCCACCGTCCTGTCCCTGGCCAAGGCCCACGCCGCCACACTGCAGGAACTGTGGATCTTGTGCGCCTCGGAGGGAAAAGACCTGTGGCACTTCAAGGACCTGGCCGAGGGGCTGCGCCAGTGCGGGCTGGTGGCGCTGCGGCGCGTTGTGCTGTTGCGTGGACCCGCTCCCGACTACCCTGCCGAGAACCTTCCCCACGCGGCAGAGTCGTGCAAACTGCAGAAGAAGTCCATCTGGAACAAACTCTTGGCGACGAAATCAGAGAAGCCAGTCAGGGTCATGTGCGAGGAGTGTGACGAGTGCCCCGCATTTCCGCCTCTGGGAGACTTTACCTGGAAAGACGATTAATACAGTGCTTTTCAATTGAGAGGCTTTCTGTTCTGTATTTTACTTTGTATCCTGGCATTCCGATCCCTTTATTAAACCCCAGAGCTAATTGTTTCGTGTTTGGCACGCTTGTTTAGTTTTTAATTTACTACCGCCTGACGTCCTGGTGCCATGGCTTAATGCTGATTTGTCCTCGATCCGATCGTGCACATCGATGTTTCTATGGTACACTTTGGTTTCAGAAACGTGACATCACGTTCAAACGAATGTAACAAAGTGTCCCGTTCCTTTGAGCATCGTGTCACATTCGTTTGAATGCGAATGAGCTAATTGATGCCTGATTCACATCCAAACGAATGGGACGCAACGCTCAAAAGGACGTGCCACTTCGTCACATTCGTCTAAGCGTGATGTCTTGTTTCTAGAACGAGAGCGTATGGAACGATTATCTCGTATGTAAAACTAAACCCCCAAGAAGGATTTTTTTATCTTTTATTAGCTTCATATTATTTTACGTGATTTTATGTCGTTCTGTACAGATGGCGTTGTTTCGAACGTAATTAGACTGACTTATTGATTTGGTGAGATGGAGAGCCAGACTGCTGTGTCAGTTTTGTTTGATTCGTAGCATTGTTAGATCTCCTAAAGCACTTCCTTGTTTGTCATGATTGGTTAGCTTTTTGATACCTACAGCCTGACGTTAAGACGTTGGTGTTGAAGTGATATTTCTTCGATGTCCATTGTGAACACAAATCTTTGATTCCATATTCACGATGTGGCTCTCGTTTGTTGTCTCACGAAAAATTAAAACCTTTTGAAACTACTGCACGGTGCGATTTTTTTGACCTCCCCTCAAAGTTGACCCAGTTGTTGTCCTTTGCAGATCTGACTGTGATGCGGCTCCTTGCTATTTCAAATGCTCTACGAGATCCAATGTGTGTTTAGAACACAGCTGTGGGAGTGTACTTGACTAGCAAACATTTGTAGACGTGTCCTTGGACAAGGTCACATCTATAGGCGCGTTCTTTCAATATTGGGTGAGATGAATGCTTACCTCTCTAAGTACACGCATACACCTGTGCTCGAAGGACACACTTGGTTTTTTAGTTTGTGGGCCGGAAGACCGGTGGAGGTGGCCAAAATTCTCAACGCGTTGTGGGCTCCACAGTCGCTGACCATATTGTAAGCGAACGTGTGACCCCACCAATGTTGCTCTCCGAACGAGTAATCCACTGGTGGGGTTACACGTTTGATTAGAATCCTGTTGAGCGATGCAAGAGCTCAAAACGCGTCTAGAGTTTCAGCCGCCTCGACTAGTCTTCTGGCCCACTGTGGGCCGGCCGTCGCCGGGAGCCTTGCAGTGCTGGTCTCGCTTGGGGCGAAAATCTACCGGTTTACTCCAGCAGTGGAGCGTGCGCACTCACAGAGAGGGTCTCCAAAATCGCCACTCGGGGCCAGATCGCCACCGTTGTCGCCAGTCGCTACTCGAAACATTTTCGTCGCCTCTTCCGTCCGAAAAATGGCCACGTGTGGCAACACTGCTTGCGCCCTGCGCGATGCCGCCGTGAGCCGATCGTGGGCTTCGGTGCTCGCTGGGAGCCTTCGGGCGCAACGGCTTGGAACGGCTTGGCCGCCGTGCAAATCGCCTTCCTGGGCAGGCTTTCCCGGAAGGGGGGTCCCTCGCCGGCCAAATTCAGGCAAAGGAGCGCGCCAAGGCGCTCCCCAGCGGGGAATCCTACTGGGCGCGTTCAGGCGCCTCGGGGTGTCGCCGGGCGCTCGGCTTCGGCGCGCTCGGAGCCGAAGGCTAATTTACAAAAGCTCCGGATCGCAGCACCCTATGAGAAATCCGCGGTAAGCAGCGCCCGCCGCTAGCCCGCCTGTCAGCACTGTCTGCACTAGTCTGCACCATTGTATAAATGTTCTTAGCTTCTTGAGGGAAGGGTCTTAGAAAGCGAAAATAGGATTGCCAAGAAATGTGTAAAAAATAAATTGACAAGGAAAATGCTTATTCTTGGTTCAAGACTAGCAGCGTGCTGAGGCACTCAGAGTCAACATTATAGCTGATGCTTGCCATTTTCCAAATGGATCCCACTGTCATAATTTGTTCAGAATATAAAATCTATCTTCGAGGAGACTGAAATTTGACTTTTGAAGGCACATGTCAGGCTCCAAACCCAGTCGAAGAGTCATTTGGAGCAACTGAAAACTAACCAAAACTAAGTGCAACTAACGAAATACTATCGTTTAGACGTAGTCCGGTTTCGTTGGGCTGGTCTTGTCGGGACAGGTTCATGGGGGTATTTGGAGCCTATTTTGGCTGTATCTTAAAAAATCTTCTTGCGCATACTATTTTGCCGTAAAAGGTTGACCTTGACATTTTCCACTTCGATTCATTATCAAAAGATTCCGGCATGCACAGCTCAAAATTTCCATTATATTATTAATTGTAAGCTTGTTAAGCTGAAAAGTCCCTAAAATTTGTCTATTATGTACATTTTTGGTCAATTATAATGAAATGCTTGGTTGGAAAGCTTGCAAATAAAAATGTAATTTATAGTTTGAGTTGTGTATGCCGGCACCTTTAAAAAGTGAATCGAAGAAGTGAAAAATGTCAAAGCCAACCTTTTACGACTAAATAGTATGCGCAAGAAGATTTTTTTAAAGTCAAAGCCTAAATAGGAGAAAAAGGCTTTGCGACTGGGTTCAGGTCATAGAATGTGCCTCCCCAATGAAACATTTTAATAATAACTTGATAAGACATCAAATTTATAACAAATTTTCACAGTGGGGACTATTTAGGAGAAAATAGCATATTCACCAGAATCTCCCCTTAAAGGACCGCTAAAACTTAATTTTGCGAGGGACATGTTCCAATTATATTTAAACTTGATAAAAAAGTACGAATAGTGTTAAAAGATTATGGAGAATAGCTCTAATATTCGTGTGGCCGAAAATAAAAGGTTGTGTGAATTATGATTTTGTTGCGTCTTTTCGGCTAAAATATGTGCCGGATAATGGGATTTTACAGTAATATGTCCATTGAATATAAGCGTGAAGAAAGTTCCCTTTGCAAGTCATTGACCCCACCGGTGAAGCGCTGAGGAGCGCGCTGCTGGGCGCTGCGTAATTTCTCTTAGGGTGCTGCGATCCGGAGCTTTTGTAAATTAGCCGAAGGCGTCGCATGCCGCTGCTGTGCTGTAGGCCGCTCCATAGTCAGAGCAGTTCCTTCGCGAAGTCAACAGGTCTTCAGTGTACTTGACGTGGCGTCTGCAACAGTGTACGTCCGTTCAACTCGTGCATTTTGCAACATTGCTGCCACCACAACCATCCCCAGGTACAGTACGTCGTTCCCGTGGAATGAAAAAGCTTGAAACCGCCGAACAAGCGCAGGCATCAAACTGTTCTTAAAAGCAAGTTCGCGAGTATGCAAGAGGGGCGGGTATGGGCCATCGTAACTGTATATATACTGTAATGTCTTTCAATAACACTTGAGCCATGTTAAAGTGAATTTGACGCATGCGTAGTTCAGAACACCTTCGTATCACGAAAGAATGTATGCGTTCGTAATCACTCTTCACTGTAAAAAATTCCGTACTTTTGTACGGAAATGGTACTGAAAAATATAGTACGGAGGTACGGAGAAAAGTACGGAACGTTCCGTACTTGCTCCATATGAACCCATGTAAATGGGTACGGAAAAGGGTACGGAACGTTCCGTAGTTGGCAAGTACGGACGGTCCAGGCAAATTATTGACCAGACATGTTCCGTACTTTTTCCGTACTTTTTTCTCACAGTGTTAAATGACAGCGTTGACGAAATGCTTAGTGTTACGAAAGATTTTGCTTCATTACACAAAGCATTTCTTCGTAGCTTTTACAATGCCTTAATTTTCTTCGTATCACAAAGCGGTTCTTCGTAGGGTTTTTTCTGCGATACGTTTGCACGATTTGGCTCGTACTCGTGGAACTTACTTCGAAAGATATTTTGAATACAACGCTGCGTAACACTCTATTGTGTGGAAGCGTGTGTTGGGGCGGTCTCGGGTAGCCGTTGCGGCACAACGCGTAGTAACCAACGTTCGGAGAACGTGATTCACGAGCGTCGAGACCATTCAGCACAGGGCTCCGCTCATCCCGTCGCCTGCACTAGACTGTCCCACGAAAAATTACATGTTCTGTTTGCTCACGGGGCACTTGAAAAATAAGTTCTAAATGTAAAAAAAGGAATAAATTCTTTTGGCCGAAGCAATCGGACAGAATTTAGAGGTCGCGCATCGCTCCCAAAGGAAAAATTACCGTTTTTGGGAATTTCGCTCTTTCTCTCACAGCCCCGGCGTTTCCGGCCGTCCCACGCGACTCGGTCGGACTCCTAGTACCCTCGCGTAACATTCAAGCACCAACCCGACCCTTGCCGACCCCTTAAACTCTTTTATAATAGACAAAAACAACAATTTTTTTCAGAAAATTTTGTTGAAAAGTGCTGAAAAAGGTGTAAGGAGTGAAGATTAGGCAAATCTGTGTGGCTCAATCGATTTGGGAAAACATCGAAAACCCATGTGTCAAGAATTGGAAGTGCCTACGGTCTTAAATGGCCGCACCCGAAGCAGTGCAAATCCGCAATTTTTGGGAAACGGCCTATTTTACATAGGGGGGTTCCAGACCAAAAAAACCACTTGGCCGGCGACCATCCGGACCAAGCTCAAAAGTTTTCCAGGGTTCCTTTCATCCATACGGACTGCCTAAACACCATGGGACGAGATCCGACTCGAATCCGGATTGTATAGGGGTCTTCAACCCCCCCCCCCCCGGCGGTTTTTTAGGGGTTTGGGACTTTTTGGGCTAGTGGAACCCGGGTGTTTAAAAAATGTACCTTTAGGTTATTCTTGTAGAAATAGTGCGCTCTTTTGATTGGCGTGTCGCACGAGGCTGTACGACGTCGGGTTTTGACGCTACGGGCTCTCAAAGTCGCTCAATTTCACCATTTTCACTGGAGATTTAATCACATGGCCGCTCAAAGTAGATCATCGTCGATTTCGCTCCTCTGAGGCCTCAATGGTGCCTACCCATGGGTCAACACCCCTACAAAATGTCAGCCCTCTCAGGCAATTTTGAATGTGTTGATCACGATGAGATAAAAGAAAAAAAAGTTTTTTTTTGGACCCAAATCCTCCTCAGCCCAGTGGTAAATGGCCCCAAACTTCCAGTGATCACAGTTTTTCTAATAGTTGCCTGAGATGGCTGACATTTTGTAGGGGGGTTTTACCCATGGGTAGGCACCATTGAGGCCTCAGAGGAGCGAAATCGACGATGATCTACTTTGAGCGGCCTGTGATCACATCTCCAGTGAAAAAGGTGAAATTGAGCGACTTTTAGAGCCCGTAGCGTCAAAACCCGACGTCGTACAGCCTCGGCGACAGCCAACGAAAGAGCGCACTATTTCCTACAAGAATAACCCCAAGGGTACATTTTTTTAAAAGCCGGTTCCACCACCCAAAAAGTCCTGAACCCTAAAAAAAACCCCCGGGGG